CGTTACAATTTCTCAACGAAGACATTGATACAGTACCAGAACGTCATGCTTTTCTAGGCAACTATCGGCGCTTCTGCGCAGACGTGATCGAAGTCCTGGTTCGCAAGACACCAGTAGAAGCAATGGCGCATATCCTTGCTCAGGCGACGAACATGCTCCAGAACCTGTACCATGATCAGCCTGCTTTCCAGCGCCAAAACTTCACAAAGAACTCTCCACAAGTCCTTCAGGTCGATGCGCAGGTCACTGTCATCGAAGCTGCACTCAAGGGGTACATGAAGTGGCAGCAAGGGCAAGGCGAGAACGCGCAAGATGATGAGCGGACGCGGAATACCCTGGAAGACTCGCTCGAGCAGTGGGGCAGGCAAATCCTGCAAGCGCATTTCGAAGATCCTGAAGTTGCAAGAAAGATAATATCTTTGATGGCAACTCTCTCAACAAAAGCCCTTGGCGACCGCCCAGGATTCGCTCTTACCTTCTTGGAGTATATGCTTACAGTACGGCTAGCCGATGACACGAACTATCCACAGTACTCCGATGCTGTGAAAGACCTCGAGCGCATATGCAGTCTTGAGATGCAGAAACTAGCGATGAAATTCGCTGACGACTTTATGAACGTCTACGAGCAACTAGAGGCCAAGGTCAATGAGATGATTAATGATCCAACGACTGACGAACGCCAACGTATGGCGTACTCCGCTTTCCTTTTCATCATCATACATAGATGTACAACATTAGAGCGCGCCACGCAAGAGGAGCGCATGAGACAGATGCTCAACCGTGTCGAGGATGCTTGGCGCAACGATGAGTTCACCCAAGCCATCTCTTCATTCCAGTCCTTCTGTGGCGTATTGGGAATGGGCCAATTACCCGAGTTTCTGTCTGCGAACAACTTCCGCGGCATTCAGGACTGGTCTGACCAACAGTTGCCTAGTGATGGCCAGGCGTTGCAGGCCTCAATTCTTGACCGTTCTCAACAACTGCCACTACGACTTACTAAGACATTACTGGCAGCATCGACGGAAAAGCTTCGCGATGGCACTGCTGCGTACGAGACTGCTGCGCTACTCTGGGCAGAGGCCATACCAGTGCTGCTCCCAAACCTTCTCCAGCTCGTGAGCCATGCACAAGCATTCAACGATATCGACGCCAACTGGTCACACTTGCCAGTAGAGCTACAGCAGGTTATTCGGAGAGTACTGACTGATCGGTTCTGGCAAGCGGGCATATCGACAGAGAGCCGAGACGACTTCTTTGCAAGAGTTAGTGGCTCCAAGTCGACGTTTGAGGGTTTTGCATCGACGGTACGAGGCACTGTAAGGCAGATTAGGGAGAGCTCGTACTACATCCTATACTCGTTAACGCGATTTCGAGACTTCTTCTATGGGATAGAAGATCTGCCAGGCCCGTTGAGTCAAGCCCTGTTTGGCCACGCAGGCGCTCTGACTGCGCATCATCTATCTGTCTTACTAACCGTATCCACCCATCTCATTGAAGGTTGCCCAGCGCGTCTACGACCACATTTCCTGCCACCCATGATACAGGGGCTATTCAGAGAGCTGGATCGAAAAATCTCCGGAGAATGGAACGAGGTTGCCCGACAGGTGGCGGATTCGGGGCAGAACGACAACTTGACGGACGAGATGAAGACTGAGAGCATACTACGACAGCTCACATATGCTGCGGTTTCGCTTGTCGCTGTCCTGCTCGATTCGAGACAGGGTAAGTCGTCTATTACTTATCGTGCTTGGTGGTCTTCCTTTCGCGACTTCTATCTGCGTTGGGGTATCGGTTCTAGTACCGAGTCTCCTAATCGTGTTTGATGACTAAAAGCTGACCTGGTCACAGAATTTGCCCGTCACGATGAACACAGTCGAAAAGAAGCCAACGCACCGCCCATGTGCGACTTCATTCTCTCAACGCCTGCCGTCCTCGAGCCTATCCTCCTCTTCTGCAACTCAACAATACGTTATCGCGATACGAGGTCCGTTGTCACCATGGTCCGCGTATTGCGCACCCTGCTCCCACGGTTCAAGGAGAAGTCGCCCATTCGGGACTACTTCTGCAATGACATCCTCAAATCGGCCATTACGTCCCTCCATGAGCCATACTTTGTGGACTGCCAGAAAGAGCTCGCCTCACTCATCGCCGGCATCATTCACCTGGACGAGGAGATACCGCGCTCGATCATCTTGTCTCTACCCGGCATGGGTGACCAGTATCGCGTCGACCGCCGTCTTGCAAAGCTCCGTGGAGCGAACAGGTCGGACGAACGTATGCAGCGCAGCATCGTACTAGATCTCATGAGTAGCATCAAGGGTGTCAGTATTCACGAGCAAGGCAAAATACAGAGATCGACGAAGACCAAGACCAGGACTGTCATGATGGAGCAGTACATGAGTGTGGATCAACAGCCGACTATAGTCCGAGGTACCAGCCCCGGATTGGCAGGTGTGGCAGACATGTTCGGAGAGTCGTAAACTTCCATGGGAAGCGGGCGTGTATGATTCTTGATGACGAAAGGACTTGCGGTGGTACCAATGGGCATCGGGTATGGTAGCATGGTTATGAGGCGGGTGGATCACCAAAGCATTCTAGGACGAAGGGTAGGGCATGGGAAAAGTGGTATGCATAGCATTTTAAGGTTGGTGTTGGCCTGTTCTTGATGATGGCTTCGAGGAAGCATCACGTGCTTGGCAACAGTCTTCGCCGCAGTGTCACTCTATGCATCCTATAGCAGAAGCATGTATCGAGAAACGCCTCACAATTAAGACGCATTGCGCTGATGCACGCTGATTCGTTCATTGCATCTCGCGACAACTGAACGTACCCCGCAGTGCCGATGACCTGACCCCGCCGCTGTACTACTGCGTGCTTGCCGTTCCTACCTATCTACCCAAAATAGAAGCAACCCGCGAGTCAGCACCTGCCTCTTTCTCTGTTCATTTCTCCGTCACAACCACTTCTCACTTTCTAATCCTTGCCATCGACGAGATGAGCGGCATACCTATCGTCGACTTCGGCGCGTACCTGCACGGTAAAGCAGAGGATCAGGAGAAGATCGCCAAGGAGATCGACGATGCATTCCATAGTATGGGCTTTGTCTACCTAAAGAACCATGGCGTGAGGAAGGAGCTGGTGGAGGAGTGCTTTGCTTGGTCAAAGAAGTTCTTCGATCTACCGCTTGAGACCAAGATGCTGGCTCCGCATCCGCCGGGTGGCAGTCATCATCGTGGATACTCGGCGCCTGGAGTGGAGAAGGTTAGTCAAGGGGTTTATGATATTAATGAGCTGAACAAGCTGAGGGAGGTTAGTTGCATTCATCTTCGCTCTCCATGGTCTAAGCTAATGAGAGGCAGACGCCTGATTATAAAGAGTCCTTCGAGTCTGGCAACGTGAAAGATGAGGCTCAGCCAAATATCTGGCTTCCAGAAGATAAGCTTCCGGGCTTTCGCGCATTCATGGAGAAGTACTTTGTCGAGTGCGCCAGTCTAATCCACAGCATCCTCGACGCTCTCTCCATTGCTCTCAACGTTCCAGCACCAGGCCTCTCTCCAACCCATTCGCAGTCGCTCTTCCAACTCCGGCTTCTTCACTACCCCTCCATCGACGCCGAACAGCTACGCAACAATGAGCGCAGCAGGATCAACGCGCATTCCGACTTTGGCACGCTCACTTTGCTATTCCAGGACAACGTTGGAGGACTTGAAGTACAGGAACCTGCGAACCCAGGTACTTTCCGTGCTGCAGAGCCCATCGAGGACACTGTGTTGGTCAATATCGGAGATCTCATGGCGAGATGGAGCAACGATCGTTGGACAAGCAGTGTGCATCGTGTTGGCCTACCTCCGGTCCTTCAAAAGGTCACTGAAGACGGCAAACGGAACGACAGGGAGATAGTAGTACCAGATCGCTACTCAATCCCTGTGTTCGCGACACCAAATATGGATACAGTTATCGATGCGTTGCCAGGTTGTTGGGATGAAGAGAAGCCGAAGAAGTACGAGCCTGTAACCGCGTGGGGATACGTACAGATGCGGATGGCTGCGTTGTATGAGTCGTGAATAGCGTGGGATGATCGTTGCCTTTTGTGGGAGAGATGTGTCTTGGTAAACCCTCCTCCAGAGCGACCTGTCGCATGGTGACACGCCGCATGCGGGCCTTTTTACGCGACTGTCGTACAGGACTAGGCAGCAGAGCCGAATTCTCTCACATCCACAATGGTTGCAGTTTTGACTAAGCAGCACAGTACAATTACGTGCCTGTTATCAGCGGTCTGCTGTGGTTCAGATTCAAAGGTGAAAGGTAACCCCGCAACGCGCACGTGAGAACGCGTCTTGCCCAATCCCCTTAGCGCCATCCCCACTTCCCCAGTCAGCGAGCTCGCAGCGACCTGTAGCTTCCTGCCTCACATTGTCTACTCTTTTGCCTCAATTCGCGCGACTTCGGAGTGCCAATAAAGCTTATCACTCACACGTCTGGTGAGCCAGCCTTTCGAGGTAACACCGTCGTTCAAGATGGACATCTATATTCCGAAAGTAAGCTCACAGCAATACCTGAGCTAGTAACCGCTGGGCGCGAATAGGAAAGCAGTCGCTAACCAGATGCCGTAACATTAGGTTCCCAAAGACGCCAATCACGTCCTCTTACGTTACACCCTTCAGGACGCTCTCCACAGCGTCGACGTGTTCGCATTCGACGTTCGAAAGTTTTCCAGTCAACACAATGATTTCGCCATTCTCACTGTACCGAGCGTTAGCAGTGGGAATCGATTTCTGGATATACGCGGTAGTCAGGGCCGACGCCAGGCGCTGCAACCTCTTTATTTTGGAAATCAGCCGCTCGACTTTCGCCAAAGTAACAAGCGTCGGGAAGATCCGCTCCAACTCAAGTCACTCAGAGAGAAGCAAGAGATAGAAGAGGCCAAAAGATTCAAAAGTCCGACGCCTATCGCGAAACTTCAGCGTCCGGGAGGGTCGACGTTGTCTTTCCGTACCCTGATGACAGGCGTCTGGGATTACGATCACCTTGGCAAGCTCGTCTTTGACCAGAAGCTCAAGGACAAAAGGCAAGGTTACATTACGTTCGGCAAGAATGCTCTAGTGGTAGGTATATCCTTCTACATCGAACACGTCAATGTTAGTACGGATGCTTACCCACACAGATTTACCTCCGGGCAGAAACCGCCGAAGCCTTCAACTGGCATTGCAGGATTGATATTGATTATGCTACTATAGAGCACATCGTTCCGTCTCGCGGCAATGGCCAACATGGAACGATAACATTCACCCTCAAGTCTCCACCGAAGTTCTACGACATTCAATCGACTAATGATCTACACTTGTATGCCGGTGAGCAAGCACCGAACGACATCTCTGCCGCATTGTCGAGACTCGGCATCAAGCCGCCAAAACCAGTTCTTCGGCTACAAAGACTATGCAAATTGAGTAAATCTCACGACATGAACTCCGCTTTGTGTATGGTCTACAAGATCGCCTTCTCCGACACCCGAAGCGTTGATCTTGCTTGGACCTTTGTTAAGCCCTTCTTCGCGGGACCTAACACAAAATGGATGAAGACCATGGAGCCCACCGCTTTGACGGGCAGTATTGAACACGAGTATGCAGTCGTCAACAAGATGCTTAGCGACTATGGACCATCCTTTCCGCAGACCTTCACGTTCAATATCCGTTACCAACTGACAGCGCTCATGCTAGAGGGTACAATCGCCCCGTGGAAGATGAAGGAACTGATACCGGTAGTACAAAATGCTGCTGAGAAGCATGGTGCAGAACTCACCGCGAACGCAGTTCGTCTCCTTGGGAAACGGATACCAACGCCTACACCGGGTGTTAAGGCGGCAGATCTTACTTCAAACGCAGTCAGTCGCAGAGGAAAGCGAATACCAACGCCTGCACCAGCTGTTGAAGCGAAAAGCTTCATGATCAAGACCATTAAGCGCATTCTTGATGAAAGCATCGAATGTTGTCAACGTCTTGAAGAGCTTTCCCGGATCTGGGACGTCAAACAGAAGAAGCAAAATCACCTCGCCTTAACATACAAGGCTACGGTCACACCTACCGGTATGTAGACTTCCAATACTGCAAATTGCAACACTAAAGTCATATTTTAGGTATCCTGCTACGCGGCCCTGACTGGGTCGTCTCCAATCGTATATTGAGGAAGTACAAAACCCACGCCCAGTTCTTCATGCGCGTGTTCTTCGCAGATGAAGACGAGCTGCCGGTATTCCATGACCCACGGGCATCGCAAGAGAGAGTCTACGAACGCTTTCGAGGCGTACTTCGAACGGGTATCACGGTCGCCGGACATACATTCCAATTTCTCGGCTTTTCCCATGCGTCACTCCGTACTCATGAAGCTTGGTTTATGGCTCCTTTCAAGGAAGATGATATTGTCGTCCGCGCAAGAGATGTGTAAGTACGTATGATTTGCGTGTGGGACTTGTACTGACTTCATTGAGCATTCGCGATTTGGGTGACTTTTCCCAGATTCGTTGCGCCGCAAAATGCGCGGCGAGGATAGGGCAGGCGTTCTCCGGTAGGGTTCAACTCGGTACGAAACGTATGTGAGATGTGTGCTGACATTGTACCTCGACATCTAGATACAACATTCTCGGTGCCAATCTCGAAAACCGCCTATGTAAACGAAATGAAGGACGACGTCACGAGAAACAACCGCACATTCAGTGACGGCTGCGGAACCTTGTCATTGAGCCTCTTCCAAAAAGTTTGGAACGCCTTCCAGCCGGACCGTAGAGCACTCAGGCCGACGGTGCTACAGATCCGGTTCAGAGGTGCGAAGGGGGTACTATCACTAGATACGACATTGCAAGGTGATCAACTGCACGCCCGAAAGAGTATGACCAAATACGTCGCCAAAGAAGAGTGGAGGGATTTGGAAATCTGTGGAGCTGCCTACAAGCCTCTCAGAGTATATCTGAACCACCAGTTCATCAAGATCCTTGAGGATTTACGTATACCTGCGGAAAACTTCATGGCGGTCCAGGATGAAGCTGTCACAGAACTGAAACTCATGACGGAGCATCCTCTGAATGCAGCCAGCCTTCTCGGTAAGTCCCGGTTTTCTAGCACATGCTGTGCGGCCTGAAAGGATGTTTGGTTCCTCATACTCGGCGGCATCGCCATGAACTGCTTCCCGAACGTATGGTCATATGTGCTAACAAGCCTGCTAGAATACTCCCACTCGGGTGATCTCGCGAGAGTCCCGTCACTGTTTCGGCGAATGAATGAATTGGGTCTATCATTCCACGCGGACAGCTTCCTCACCGACATCGTGGAAGTGGCAGCTATGTCAAGCCTGAGAGATATCAAATATCGCGCGCGTATTCCAATCAAGAACGGCTACCTCCTTTATGGCATCATGGACGAATGGAACATTCTGAAAGAGGGCGAGGTCTACATTCCGCTACAAGATTACGATACGAACGACAAACTGAAGAGAACCATACTCGTTGGCGAGCGAATAGTCATCACGAGAGCCCCTGCGCTACACCCAGGCGATATTCAGGTCGTCAAAGCAGTCGATGTTCCAGAAGGTTCGCCCCTCAGAGCACTGCACAACTGCGTCGTATTCTCACAGCAAGGTCCGCGGGATCTACCATCGAAGCTAAGTGGCGGTGATCTTGATGGAGACTTGTTCCACATCATTCACGACACTCGACTGATTCCGAGAATCGTTTATCAACCCGCCGACTACCCATCCACGCCGGCAAAGGATTTGGGGCGGCCGGTAACTGCCGACGATATCGTTGACTTCTTTATCGAATACATGAACATGGATCGATTGGGACAGATTTCGAACAAACACAAGATTCGCGCTGATAAGGCTCCTTTTGGCACTCTAGATGCAGAGTGCCTGCTTCTTGCCAAGCTCGCATCCGATGCCGTCGACTTTGGAAAATCTGGGATTCCTGCCAAAATGGCTCAGATACCGCCAGGTTCTGATCACATCCGCCCTGACTTCATGGCGCCAGGATCGAACCTCATCGTCAACGACTTGGGCGCTGCTGAACTCGAGGAGCTTGAGGGTGACGAGCTCGACGAAGTGAGTGTGCTAAATGCTGAGAAACCAAGGAGTTCATACTACACAAGCACAAAGGTCCTAGGAGTTCTGTATCGGCGGATCGACGAAAAAACGTTCTTCGATAAGATGAAGAACGCCTACCGAACATCTCACCATCGCCGGGGTGATGAAACGCTGGTACAGAAGCTCAAGCGATATGTGATCCGAGAGACCCGTGGAGTACAATGGGAACACCATTGGGATTTCGCAGAACAACTCCGTGAAGCGTACGAAGAGAACATGTTCGAAATTATGGACACACATCGTCCGTCTCGAGGCTCACGTCTTACCGAGCTTGAGGTGTTTAGTGGTAACATCCTTGGCAAGAAAGATCGTGCACCCTCCCGCTACGTCCGCGAAGCCAACCTCGAGGTTCAAGAACGCTTCAACCGCGATGTCAGCGACATGATCAAGAATATAGTAATGGGTGATGGAGACTGGGACGGCGATGCGGATTCGGAGGCGTTGCCGCGCTCCATTGCGTGCTTCATGGTCGCGCTGGAGACGGATGGCTGGGAGAACTACCGCACGTTGAGGAGCTGGAAGTACGTTGCTGCTGCGGTGTGCTTGGAGCAGTTGTGGAAGTACAACAACGGGTATTTGCGCCGACTTTGAGTAGTGGTGTAGTGCTACGTCTTGTACCGGGCTCACAGTGGAGAGGTGCTCGGTTATCACGACTTCATGAAGATACCGCGCAAAAGATGCGCTGAATATATGGTGGTACCATTAATTTGATGAGTCCAACGTGTGATGCGATGTAATGCGATGCATGGGTGAAGAGTTATGAGGACACCTTCAGGGAGTACTGCGCAGGCCCCTTGGGCGTAAACTACGCCCAAAGACATAAGCGAATCAGCGTTTTGGCACGCACAGAAGCGGCTAGAGGGGCAAATGTTTGCCTCTCGCGTTACAAAAAAAAAGAGAACACGCTTGAGCGCTCTACGATGCTTTCTACGGTTTCCGAACGTGTGTATGTCGTCGCGTCGCATTCCAGCATGCCGCGCAGTCGCGCACGCGTTTTTGAAGTTTCCCACATCAGCCAACTAAAATTCCCAGCCGCAAAACCCAGCCATGCCAGTCCCATCCACGACCCTGCGTCCCCCGACTAGCTGACTGATACCCGGTAAGCCCGGGTGCCATCACCACATGGCACCACGAGCCTACCCCGCATGCCAACCGTTGGTGTTGGCCGCGTGATACTTGCTACCCAAGCCAAACCCCCTCAAAACCATGGTTCCAGGAAATATAGATGCATAATTTGGGCTTTCTCTCATCAAACACACATATCCATCTGCTTACGTCATGTGACGGTAACAGCAACATCTTCGATGGTCTAGTGGTCATGATTTCCGCTTGTCAAATGTTCACGAAGTGTTTACAAGCGCGGGAGACCGGGGTGTATGTGCTACCTATTCTTGAGGGGTGTTTTGAGCTTTGTCTAATCGTGCAAACAGTCGATTCCCCGTCGGAGAGCTTATTAGCTACGCGCCTTTTCTTTTTGTGGAGAGGGGTTGGAATGATGGGGGTGAGAGGTGCGTGGCTTGGGTAACTTTTTGGGTAAAGATGCGGGGTTGGGCGATAGGGTGGATGATCCCGATATCGTTAGGTTATGGTGAAGCTACTACGCTTTTTGCATTGAAGGTACGGCTACAGCCTCGTCTGAGATATGTAGAGATATTTCTGAATGCAAAGGATAAACTGTTACTTCCTGGCCTGAGTGAACAGTATGTCCCCTCAACTTGCCGGGAAACCTGCTCGGGCCATCTTCTTTCCTCGTTGAGCCTTCCGATTATGGTTCGCACTTGAACCCTTGTTGGCTTCCTTGCGTTGCCGTGATATTTGCGTACCTTTGTCGTCAGCAGGACCTGCGACGCTGGCACCACCTCGTCCACCACCTGGGCCGCCACGTCCGCGCCCTCTGCCTCTTCCTCTACCGCTGCCGCCTCTTCCGCCGCGACCTCCTTGCCCATCACCACTGGCTTCGTCGCCAGATCCTGCAGGGCTGTCCCGCCACGCTGTTGATTGAAGCTCTCGCTGCTGACCCTGGAAATTGGAAAACTTCGCTTCGAGCCGCCGCAGTGCGCGAGGATTGCGCCCCATCATGATGGCCCAGCCTTCGATTGCTTCGTCGGTCATACCAGTTTCGCTCTTAAGGGCTGTTCGAGCTTTGCCCCGCCTTGTCTCCGACTCACGACCGAACAGCTCAGGTGTCATGGTGTAGGCGCGGAAAAGGGCTTCTTCATTCTTGTCACCCAAGTCGGCATCTTCGCCAGGTCCGTGCGCGGCAGTGTCGACAGATGCGCCGACGTCTTCTGCATCGTAAGTATCATCCCGCTCGTCGTCATCCGAATCGAAGGCTGCCAGCGCCGCCATGATTGCTGATTTGGCGGGTGCTTTACTGCGGTCGGACAAGATCTCATCGGCAGTCGAATCCTGACCTCTGCGACCAATATGGAATCGCGATGTGTCAACTGCAAGCCTGTCGAATTCGTCGTCATCAAAGACATTGCGTCGTTCTGGGAGGTGTTGGCTAGATCTAGGTGGTGGCATTGGCTGTGACGGTGTCGCCGGTGTGGGCCTAGCACGCATTAGTATGTCTGACTGAAGCTATGATGGCAGAAGCTCAAGTGGAAGTGCTTACAGTTTCTCGCTCCGATCAGCCTCGATTAGGTGTGGCGGTAACGAATCTTCCAAAAGATGTGCGGTAACCTGCTCGATGTCGTCGTTGTACTCATCCAAGCACTTGACAATGAAGCCTGCACCCAGGTCTGGAAAGAGATCCTGGATCTGGCTAATCATACTCATCCGGTGGACGTGTATCTCGCCGGTGAATGCTCCGTGGCCATAGCTATCTTGATCTGCTGCTGCTTTGCCTTTGTCTACCTTTCGTCGAATCAACCTCTTCGGCCGAGCTAGACTAGACTGCCGAAATGCGCTCAACGATGCTGCAGTATTCTTCACTCTTGTTGCTTCCGGAGTAGTAGCTTTTTCTCTTATCTTTTCCAGTAGCGGTGTGTTGGTGACAAGATCAGCAACCAATGTCTTCTTGCCAGGCCCCTTCTTCTGATCTTGCTCCTCACTGGATTTTAGGCTGTACAGGTGATCGGAGAGCAATGAGTAATTCGACTTTGGTCCTTCTAATGCGGCTGTCAGGCCAAGATATGCAGTCGTAACCAGCTTCTTCTGCATTGATTTCGGTACTTGTGGGTATGCGGAGAGCAGAGAGTCAAGGAAGTCGGACCCTGTGAGCATGAACACGCTGGCATCTGACGAGGCTCTGAGAAGAGGTGCGATCCGATCAAGTGTCTTTTCGGCCTCTTCCGGTCGCTTTGATTCCAAGTTCCGGATTAGAGACGTTTTCGCTGTCTGTAACGACTTCTCGATTGCCGCACCCTTTCGCTTCCATGACCCTTGCAAGAGCGTACGGAACTGCTCGCTCTTTGGATACGCATGACAGATGTCAGATAGGGCTGACCAGCTGAGCAATGGAGTGGGTATCTCTTCTTTGGAAAGAATTCTGTGTAATAAAAAGAAAGTCTTCTTTCGTAATGACGCAACTTTAGCTGCTAGCTCATCGTCCAGGGCCAGTTCATGAAAGAAAGACAGGAGAAACTGCGTGAGAGAGCTCTCCTCTTTGGTCGCCTCCGAGAACTTTTGGTCCTCTAATCTCAGATAGAGCTCAGATAGCGAAGCCCACGAATCCAGGTACAACTGCCATTCGTCGGGCAGTATGCTCTTTCTGACTTTTGCGTCTGGGAATGGCGCGAAGTGGGGTAGCGACATCTCTGTTGGTGACGTTGAAAGACGAAATCCAAGGCCGGGCTCAGAGGTACAGTGCACAGTATGTGTAACGCTCGAAGTGTTTAAAAGGTTCAATTTCTGTTGTTTGTCTGCAGTCATGCAGTCATGATGGCTCATGGGCCCGCCTGCCGAGCGATCAAAAGGGAGCGATACCAGTTACGGCACTAGCGTCCGCAATCTTGGCGCGCATCACCCACAGATCGAAAATGCGCATCGCGAAGAACTTAACGACTCCGAACGCCGTCGCAAATTTTAACGCCACCCCAGTCATCACATTACCGCGATCAAGGATCCAGGTCGTGACTGGAATCTAACTCAGAACCTACAACAACACCACACTCCAATCCGACAAGATGTCTTACAACAAGGGCGAGAAGGACTTCGGCGAGGGCCCCAAGATCCACAAGGTACGTCGCCATGTATTCTATGCGCACGAGGCTGTGTACTGACTGCGCGTTCAGATCCGCATCACCCTCACCTCCCGCAACGTCAAGAGCCTCGAGAAGGTCTGCCAGGAGCTCATCGACCGTGCCAAGAACAAGGAGCTCCGCGTCAAGGGCCCCGTCCGCCTGCCCACCAAGCACTTGAAGATCACCACCCGTAAGACTCCTTGCGGTGAGGGTTCCAAGACCTGGGACACCTACGAGATGCGCATCCACAAGCGTAAGTGCATACCACTCCAGACAGTCGACCGGACAGCAGCTAATTGTGGACTTAGGCCTCATCGACCTCCACGCTCCCACCGAGGTTGTCAAGCAGATCATCATCAACATCGAGGCCGGTGTCGAGGTTGAGGTTACCATCGCCGCATAAGGGCTTGGTCCACAAAAAGATTATAAAAGGAGTGTCAACGGTCTGAACAGACGTGTGGCTATGAAACAGCTCTCGAAGCTGGACATACACGAAATGAAATGATTCAGACATGACTGCGCATTGCATTGGGATGTGACTTTGACCGTGAGAGGCTTCTACGGGCTATCAACGACAGCCGTCACAATATGCAGTCCACAGAACAAAGAAGGCATGAGCCAGAGAGCTAAAAGATGCTTGTATGGTCGACCAATACGTGCCACTGACAAAGGCCCACCGACAAGAGTTGCACCCTTCTCGTATGAGAGTCTCATCGTCTGCATGTTCCACAAATCATTTACGTATAAAACGTGTACCCGCCACTCTTTAGCTCAACCACGATATCCCAGCCTTCATCTGTGCCTTTCACAAGCCAGCACTCTCAGGAGGGCCGAGTAGAATTAGACCATCAAGAAGTATAACGCCGAGTGGTAAGTCGTCCCAGCCCATCCTATCGCCCGCTTCGAAGTCTGCCACTATGGATAACAAAAGATTAGAGCTCTGCTTGGGTCATTCGCGCTCAAATTGCACATATTAGACTCACATCTGCTAAACCAAAACGCGATTTGGTGCCGTGGATGTCTTAAACAACCTACTAAACCATGCTCTCTTGCCAGGTCATCTAAAGCGTCCTTCAGCTTCGGACTTCTCATGTTTACACTCACTCCGTCGCCTTGAGGAAAGGTGTCAGGCTTATACATGGCTAGCAAGGCGACCTGGCGGTCTTCCGAGGATGCGAGATAGGTGGGCCTGGCTTCTACAAAAGCTGGGTCGCAACCTTCGTAGAACCATATGTCCCAGTCGCGCATAATACTGTGACATGATTCTTTTAGGTTATGGTCGGTCACAGACATCTTGAACTTGTGTAGACACGTAAGAAGTGGGACACAGCAAGTGCGGGATATATAGTCGTCTGTAAGTTCACGATAGCACGGCGTGCGGTGAACGCATGACTAGGTAGACAAACATTCCCATAGAGTGCGTCAAGGAACTGGAGGTCAGTTGACCCAATATATAGACTTCACGTGAGCCTGTGGATAGATGAATCTATCGCAGTTGAGCTTTGATAAAACGCTTCTCGTCGTACAGCTCGACATGTGCTTCTCTACTTATCCCCAAAGCCGGCTCGGGGCCAATACAAAAACGACAAAGGTTCGTTTGGTTACAACAATTGTGTAGTGCACAAGGAAAAGATGAGAGAGCAGGATAGCTGGAGACAGTCCGATAGTCTGCTGATGTTTTCATAGCTGGCAACAAACTATCAACGGCAACACTGATCGACCAAATATCCACCCCGCCCTAAGGTCCGCATGCCGACTGCCTGTGACAAACAACCACCAATGTATAACACAGTTTGTAACTCTAGGAGTTTACCCTGAATTATTGGGAGTCGCGCCGGCAGCATTTCATACACCATTCACCATAATGAAATCAGTACCGCCCGGTGCATCATCCCATCCCAAATTCTCAGCAACGTGCGCGGTTGAATCGACTAAATGGAACAAAATGCGTTAGACTCATGTCTGGAATATGTAAGCCCAGACTCACATTTGGCAAACCAGAAGACCACTCTATGTCTCCAATCCTTCGCGGCACTGTCCGTGCCCAGTTCACTTGCTAGGCGTCTCAGAGCAGTGTAGAGGTCGTTATTGCGCATGTTCACGTCCTGGAACACTTCTTGCTGGGAAGGTTCCGCTGGCTTCCACATAGCTAACAAGGCTATCTCAAGTTCGCGGGAAGAGATAACGTTAGTCACTTTGTTGGCGATGCAGCAATCAGGGGCACTGTCGGGGAACCAGTCCTCCATTTCGTCCATGAGCTTTAAGCACGCTTCTTTGTGATACTGGTCGGGTGCTTGCATCTTGAAGGGCGGTGGAATTTGATAGAAGTATATATGGTACTGGGTACTGGAGTGGATAGTGTGATAGACTGATAAGTAGAGATGTGTGAGGAGCAGGAGAGAAGGCGCCGAATTTATAGTTTTGATCTATGAGTCTTCACTGACATGCTGTCATATAAAGTTATGACTATATGAGCATCCGCTTCAAGACGCTCCGAGCGACTGCACAAAGGTCTCCAACATGTAACCATGACTGGCTCATGAGTCCTCTTGAGCAGCTGAGGCTCACAGCTGGCTTCAGAGTCACCTGGGTTCTACAATGAATGACAGCTTCGAAGCTTCTACGAACCTTATGCGCGCCCTGAGCTTAGAATCTGGATAATGGTGTCAACTGGGGGAGATATATATCCATAAACCTCACCAAGGGCTGCACGAATGTCATCGGCGAACAGGTGCCCCGGGGGATACGTAGGTACTTGTAAACTGTAGACTTTACCGATGAGTAAGCTGTACTTTTGCACAGACAGTGCTATGAGCCTGTGCTTGGCCATCGTGTAACGTTCTGTCGTCACGCACGTGCAAACATTCTTTGTTCAGCAAGTGCGTCATAACGTTGGAAGCGACATTCCAGTCAACGCACATCATTTTATCTCTTTACCCCGACTTCACTTTGCAGACCACAACGCACTCTCGAGGTTCAGAGAAATCTTCAAATGGTAGCCTGTCAAACTTCAACGCCTTGAGTGTTGGCTTATCGTGATGCCGTGAGACACCCGGAGGCCCACATCACCCTGCGTACCTGCTTATCGAAGGTGTCATAGTAGACCCAGGAGGATGTCGCGTCGTGATACAATAGTAAGTCTCAACGACAAAAACAGGTTTGCAGACTTCAGTATTATCACCATGTACAGACATCAAGACGTTGAGGTGTCCAGGTGACTACCAAGACCTCACAAACATCACATATCATAAGTACCTAGTAATTATCAAACCAGTTTTACTATCGTTGCTACTCAGCTAGCTATGAACTTTGATGACCACTTGTCATATCTCCGTGAATCCTTCCCATATTATAGTACATGCATCATGAAAAAAGTGAAAAGTGAAGAGAAACCATGAAGAACTACCAAATTCTCTTAACCGGTGCCATTGCCGTTGCCGTTGGTGTTGCCGTTGGTGTTGCCATTGCCGTTGCTGTTGACAGGCGTGTTGGTTGGGGCAGGGGGTGAGGTAGGGGGGTTTGCTGGAGGAACCCTCGGGAACACGCGACGCTCGATATAGCGGATGGTGTTGTTCGGTCCGAGGGCGAAGAGGGGTTGAGGAGGGGTGTCAGACATGATGGCTAGACAGTCGAGAGACTTGTGCTAGTTTAGTGTTTTCGGTTTGAAAGTTGACGGATCAGGTGCGAGCCCTTGTGCCACCAGGTCTTGAGGCGGTCGATGATGCGGTGTTTGCGGTAGTCAACTGCTCTCATGCCCTCCGCGTCACGGAAGGTATGGCGGTTGGCGGTGGTAGATGACGTGAAAGCTTGAGCTTCACCGGCACGATCTTGGAGGAGTGAGGTGGTTGACTGCTTGGTCGACTCGGGCGAGGCGAGGTCTTGTGCGTTGGTCTTGCTTCGACCAGCTCGAGTGTTTGATTGGCTGTCAAGCGTAGCTTTGCGAGTTGACGAAAAGCGCTTGCGGAGCGAGAGCCTAGTCTTGCGTGTGGTGTCGTAGTGCTCGTCGTCAGAAGTGTCAGAGGCTGACAGGTGGTCGCGGAAGATAGCTGTAGGAGGTGACAGGGCAGAGGTGGGGTAGCGTTCACCGACTGCGTGTGGCTGGTCGCTGTTGCGCCCAAAGGTGCTGAAGCGGTGATGACGCGCGTGTGCGGTGCTATCGGCCGGTGATCCGAACGGGGAAGCTGTGGCTGTCTGCGCTGTCGAGAAGGAGCTTGTGGTAGACGCGTCAGAGAGTCTGTTGCGGAGGTGGGAAGGGCCTGGGTGAGGAGAGTGTCTCGCAGCAGCTGGACGAGGAAGGGAGATGTCAATAGCGGGGTTTGTTGACGTCGCCCAGGGATAATTCTTGTCTGAATTCCAGGGACGCGTCTCGGTTACTGTGGGCGTAGAAACAAACGACCTGAGAGACCTTCTTACGGAAAGAGCGGACTCCCCTGAGATGCGAAGCTCTTGAGGGCCGACGGTGTGAGAGCGCGGACGGAGAACAGCTGGTGATGGGACTCGCAGCTCTGAGAGCGGAGTCGTCTTGTTGTGTGTTGGTGTGCTCGGTGCGTCGTCGTCCTTGGGGGAGCTGCCTGTATTTGAGTCTGCCTCGCTAGCGCCGTTTACACCAACTCCATCGTCGGGACGGCCTGGACTGCCACATCCCCTCTCCTTGCTTGTGATCTCATCATACAGATCGTCCTCGATAACAACCATGTGCGAGACGCCACGCATGGGGCGAAGTCGAGCAGATGAGCGTTTCTGCGTCGGATGGATCTCGTGGATCTCCTCCAATGCGTGCTTCTCCATCTCCTCCTCAATCGGAAACTCGGCTGGCTCACCGCACTTGTAGTATTCCCTCAACGACGGGAAGATCTCTGAGAGGCGCTGGGTAAGCCCCCCGACAGAAGGTATAGTCAGCCGCTCAATCTCTGCCATGAGCTCCGGTGAACGAGCACGGTGCATCGCGAACAAGTTCAACACGGCGGTAGGCTGCATTGACAACCCTGAGCGCTCTGCTTCATTCAATTCGGCGAGAGAAAGGCGCAGGTCCGTGACATCACCGGCTGATGCAGGCCGTGGACTACCTCTGCTCACCCTCTGCGACGCATTGGGCACCTCTTCCATTGACCTTGAGTAGCGAAGGCCAAGGTCCTCGGTCAGACCATCGAACAGATTCATCCGACTAAACCGCATCGAAGGCAAACCGTGTGCCTGTCCGAGCGCGCTACCCACGTTGCTGCCAACAGCACTCCGACGATGCGACGCTCTAGACGACCTTCCCGAGAAGTTGATCGGTTCCTCTCCCGAAGCCCTGACCCCCGACGGCGCGCCGAACGGAAAGCGGCAACTCGAGCTCTTCAGATTGCTGGCACTCGTGTTGAGGCTCGAGTCCTCATGCGACTCCTCCTTCAGGTCAGGCAGATAACGCGCAGGGCCAGGATACCTATATCCGGATAATCTGAGGTCCGTCGTAGTATTCTCTTGGATGTTGGACAAAGGACCCGATCCCAAAGAATTCAAAAGATTTCCAACACCGCTCAGAGGGCGTAGCGACACCTGCTGGAGGCCACCACCGTGGGAGGAAGGCCTATATCCATTCCAATCGAGGTGTGTCGTAGTCTGGCTGTCACGATGGCCAGGCTCTTGGGCTACCGGAAGTCCATCCGCGGAGTCTACACATGAGCCTGAGGAGGTGTCATGGATCGAGTACACAGAGGAGGGCTCCAAAATCGCAGGAACCGGGCTGTCGATTGGTTGCGCAACAGGAGCCGGGCTACTACCGGGCATCTTGGATGGGTTGCAAGCTTTCGGAGTGTCGAAGCTGATAGCTCGCGTCTTCGCAACAGGTACACCTTTTGGCCTGGTCGACGGCGCTTGCGGCGTCTTCTTTACCTCCATGGCGGGTGGCGGTGAGCTGGTCATCTCATTGAGACTGATAACGCCGTCCGTGTCTTGACTCGAACTGGAAGCAGATGTGACCGTCTCATCTGACTTCGGTAGCTCCTCTTGGTCAGTATACTTCCGAGACCTGGCAAAGCGCAACGGTAGTGGACGCATCAAGAACGAGACTGCGGCGTGCACACGTTGGGCCTCCTTGGAAGTGCTTGACTCTCGGGGCGGTACCGCTGGCCCCTGGTGCGTAGTGCCCAGCGTGGATGACGAACCAGATACCGATATCGAGCCTTGCTTCATGCTCTGCTTGGAGCTAGTCCGCAATTTGCTCGCTACGATAGAAAAGCTGGATTCTCGACGCGGTATAGGAGGCTGTTTGCGAAGCATAGCAGAAGAGGGCTTGGACAAGGGTGCCTCCACAATCGTCCTGCCCTGATTCAAGACCACCGTTCCTAGGTTGGACGTTTGGAGTCGAGGCGGAGCTGCGAAACTAGCACGGATAGGGTGCACACCAGTCGCAAAAGAGTGAGTGTCTGCTTCCTTCGATACCGTATCTCGCTGCGGCGCAAAGTCAATGGCGGATGTGGAAGACGCTTTGATGTCTTCTTTCCCTGGCTCGAATGGTATCAAGCCTGAAGAGACATCTGGCAGATCGGTACAAGACTTGAAGGACAGCTCATCGGACGACCCTTGTGCATGGCTACTTCTGGATCGAAGGGCAAGAGGCAGCGGCTTCATGTCATTTTCTGTTGAAGCATCTGTGTGCTCCTCATACCTGCTCTCGTTGGCCATCTCGGTTCGTACCAAAGCGTCGGTCTCGTTCTTATAATCAGATCCCTGATATCCTGCAAGAACATCCGACATACCATCGCCGGTACTATTACCAGGACTGAGAGACATGTTCGTGGTAGCATGAATTTTGACACCGGGCTCGTTTTGGAAGCCACCGCTATTGGCCGTTGGTATGGAATGCTGGACTGCGAATTCAAGAGTGGACGAGTCGAGGATGCTAGATCCAGTCTGCGATAAGATACTGTGGCGGTTTTCTCCGCGGTCTGCCGAATGCAATACGGCCCCACGAGGTATATCAGATACAAAGTATTTCTTAACAGGTATATCACACGAATGGGTGACCTCATTGGTCTTCGACAGCGGCAGAGGCCCCGGAGTCAGCGACCTTGGTGTCAGCGACCGTGTTGTCAGCGACTTTGTCGGCGACTGCGGTGTCGGAGACGTCGTCAGTGATTGCGGTGTCGGGGACTTTGGCCTTGATAGTGGTATCGGAGACTTTGGCCTTGATTGTAGTGTTGGAGACTTTGGCCTTGAGGGTTGTGTCGGAGACCTTGGAACGGGGGACTTTCTTGACGGAGATGGAGGCTTGCTCGGGAGCGAGGGAGATGGCCCCGAAGAGGTTACTAACTCCATCGAAGACTGGATATCGCCCGTCGTTGAAGCCTCCAGACCTCTTAGGATCAAATTCCTTGTGATGCGGTGAGCTACGGGGGACGCTGGGAGTTCCGCAATGTCGCTTTCGCGAATGCTTCCGGGCTTTGCGCTCGGCTTCGCGTTCGCGTTCGAGATCGGAATCGAGGTCTTTTCGCAAGTTCTCACGGTAATGGTAGCGATGTTGTCTAGGTGGGGAGACACGACCTCCATCGACATTGGTCGTGCCTCTTGTCCTAAAAAAGAATCACTCTTCAATGTCGCCCCAGCCTGACGAGACTGCTCGACAGTGGTTATCTTTCGGTCTATGAAGCCGTCGGGATCAGCATCCGTCCCTGGGTCCGCAGACGCCACAGGTCCGAGCTGGTCACTCGTGTTGTAGTATGGTACTGAAGGATACTCTTCCTGAATAACAAGGCGGTTCGGGTTGGCGGCTTTGAAGACCTTGTTTCTATCGAGGTTTCGGTGCACTTCCATGGAGCTACCATCTTTCGGAGTTGATGGCATTGTCATGTCGGACGATGGCGGCTCTGATTCGGTACGCAAGTTTGTGTTAAAACTGGACATGGAAGCAGGCGCAGACCTCTTGAGACGAGCTTGTTCAGCAGCGATCCGTTGGCGGTGATCGGCTGGTAAAGGTGGCTGATGTTCATCCTGACGCCTGCGCTCTCTTCGATCTTCTGAACGAGGCTCGCGCGCGGAGTTGCCTGTCATCCTGCGAGACACGAGTTGTCCGAAAGCCGCGTGGTAGGGAGGAAAGTCGTCGTCTTCCACGGGGGGGTCTTCAAGGCTCATCGTCGACCGAGAAGCTGGATTCTTGGTCCTCATCTGCCCGGGGCCCTGTCGGGTGTTGAAGCCTCGTTGGTCTTGTCCTTGTCCAGCATGCTGCTGCCGATACGTATGATTTGTGTATCCTGGGTTGCCGTAGCCTTGTGCGTGGCCAGCATAGGGCAGTCGCTGACCGTCGTAGCTCCGCGGCCCTTGGAAGTGTACTCCGCTGTCGTCGCTCAGGGCGGACTGGACCGATCGCGAGTATGGAACAGGCTGCCTGGAACCACCCCCGGCGGGGTGTGCATAGTATGGGCTTGGGTTCGAAGATCGGGACGCTGGCCGAGGGCGCAAGCTGGGAATAGACCTGTTGCTGGAGAGGCCGTACGCTGGGGGCTGTACGGTATTCGTCATCGAGTGCGAGCGATGCGCGTCCCTGTCGCGGTTGTCTCTTCGGTTGTTGAAAGGCGATGATCCGGTGGCGTTCATCATCGTTGGAGACAGCGTGTCGGCATTATACACGGGCCCATGGTGTTGCATTGGCTGGCGCGGTGCAGAAGACGAGGAGGGGTAGGAACGGAAGTGCTGCTTGCTGCCCCGACTGGAAGTGTTGGACGTGGAAGAAACTTGCGACATCCTGCTGGTCGCGCGCGAACGCAGCGGACGTGGTGCGTTGCTCATGGCAGACAAGTCGTCGAACTTAGGACGGCCGATGCTAACGTCGCCTATCTCGGTCTCGGTGCGGAGCATGGACGTGACGCCGCGGTTCAGAGGTTGAAGGTCTGCACTGGGTGCCCGCGATACGGGTTTACCTGATGCTCGGCTCATGGCAGAGACGTTGGAGGCTCGCGAGTTGCGGCCGCCGCCGTTGGGATCCTGATCGAAAAGCGGCATACTGCTGTCGGCTGCGAAAGTCGCTGCGAGGAGAGCAAGCAAAGGTTGCACGCAGGGCGTGAGCGAAGCTGCTGCGGTGGTGGCTCTCCTGATTGCGGCGCTGCCAAAAGATGTGGTAGTTATTGGTATAACCAAAAAGAAGAAGCGATACTGCACAAGGCGGCGAGTATCCAAGAAAGACAAAAGCGGGTGACCTTTACACAACCCTCGCCAACATCTCCGCCAAAAGGAGAAAGCTGTCGAGTGTGGTGCTGTTGTGGGTGGGGGCAAGGTAGAGGAGACGGAGGGAGCTCGGCGGAGACGTTGTTTTGATAGCGAGACTCGCGCCTCCTTCACGTCCATTACGGCAAAGGCTACCCCTACCCCGCCAGCATCTCGCAGAGGAAGGCAGAGACATCAGACACAGAAGGAATACAGAGACGATACAGAAAGGGTCAGTAGCAGAGATGCATACGAGAATGGTCCCTACCTACTTGTGCGTACAGCTTTCCCATACCTACCCCTACGGCGGGCCTACCACCCGTGGCGCCAAACCGGCAGCCAACAGCCAGCAGCTCTTCGCTTCTCCTTCTCGCACCCCAGCTGCCCACCATGCGCAGGATAGCGCAGCATCCAACAGCGACCCGCTCCGAAACTGCCCCCAGCAAGCACACCAGACCACCGCATCACCGACGTCCTCCGCACGACGCCGCCTTCTGCCGCGATGACGTCCGCACACGAAGTTAAAGACATTACACGTTGCTCGTTACCGCGTTACATCTACCAGGGCGAAAATATATACATGCGAAAGCCCCAGGAAGCCATCGAGAACGCTGGGCAGAACCACGGCAAAGACTATGAGATTTGGATTGCGTAATACACAGAAACGCAAAGTCAAAGGGGTATATAGCCTTGCAACGCCAGACAAGAGGACCAAGGACGGGACAAGGGATAACAAAGATCAAACTAGAGGGTATCACTCGGCGATAGGACCTATATCGCCAGATTTCTTCTTGGTGAATAGCCGTTTGAGAGATGAGAAGCTACTTCGCTTGGAAAGTCGCTTAGTCGAGACATCTGAGAACGTGGACAGAGAGGTTGGTGGCCGGCTTGGCATGTCCGCAGCCTTAGGGGTTTGCTCAGGACGATTGAACGTAGGAGAGCTGGCACCTAGTCGACTCGACATGGAACCTTTCGGCGTGCTCAAGTTTCGACTAGGGAAAAGACCAAATTGGGCAGTTTGTCGCGAGGACATGGAGGACACGGAGCGTGGCGATGCGTAGCCCGGTGACACGGCTGAGGCGCCCGACACAGAACAATATGCCGAATCTTTGCCCGTCAAAGGCGGACTGTATTCTCCGTTTTGTGGTTTCGCCGACATGCGTTTCGGTGCTGATGCGCTTTCCTCTGCAGATAGGTTAGATGGCGAAGACACTTTATGCTGGTGCCCCGGAACATGTGTTGCACGACTAGACTCTGCATGCGGTGTCGCTCCGTCACGTTGCTCGTCGTTGCGCCAGGCATCATGGTAGTACCCGGACTGACTTGCCTGACGTCGTACATCGACGTCTGTGTTGGAAACGGCAGATGCAGAAGACGAGTCTTCGCTCCGTTTGGGCGTCTCTGTGGTGGAATCGGATGCGTTTGTGATCTCGGGCTGCTGCTGCTGCTGCTGTTGATGCTGTTGCTGCTGCGGCCTCGCTCGTAAAGTCGAATGTCGCTGGGGTGTGCCAAAGCTGGCAGGCGTCTCCCTACCAGATGATGATGCGCTCATGAATGGCGGACGTTCGGGCGGGGGGGTTGGAAGAGGTTTGTTGTTGGCAAAGTTTCGAAATGGGCGTGCCTCGCGCGAATTGGACGAATTTCGTGAAGATGTACGTGTCGCAATCTAGGGCTGTTAGCGAAGCTCCAGCTGAGAACATAGCCCACGAAGCGGGTTCGAAGCGGCTTTTGGCAGCGAACATACCAAACTTCGGCGACTTGCAGCGCCACACCGCTTCTCGATCTCATTGCAATAGCTGCTGACCTGTACGAGCACAACGCCCAGCCTTTCAGCCTTTGCTACGAGGCTTTGCAAGAATTGCGACCAGCCTCCGGTGTTGCCACACATGGCTGAATATATGCGCCCAATATCCTCATTGCGGTATGTCCATTCGTCTCCCACATCGCCTAGGTAGAGATCGAGCTCCTGGTTGGCTTCGCGAAATACGTTGATGTCGATCAGGTAGTCGTTGAGCAGTTGCGACATGCGCCCAATGGTGCGTTCGATTACGACGTTGCCGTCGAGGAGTTGGGCGCGGTATGAGCGGTCTTCGAGGAGGCGATCGAATTCGTTTACGTGTTCCATGGGCACCTTTAGACATTTATGCCGGAACAGCATGTCCTTCATGCTGCTTTCAAGGTCTTCATTCGCCCGCTGCAGAAAACTGTCGAGCTCATTGACATGCTTGAGCAATATGTCAGCGACATCGGCGACGGACTTTTCCAGATGCTGATGCAGCAGGTGGACACCAAAGATGATCTGCGCGACGGTCTTTGTCAGGGGGTGAAATTTGCCCTTTGCGTTGCTCCTCCAGTGGCAGTTGTATGTGAAGTTCCACGAGGGCTCAGAGGCATTCTCCTCTCTGCACAGCATTTGCTGTCGCGTCTTAACGCTCTTCTTGGGAATGGCGAAGGGAACGTGCCCCGTTTCGCCAGTGGCGTCGAGCATCGACTCCTCAAAGGGCGCCTGCATAGAGGAGAGAGGGTGTATGGGAAAGGTGGCCGTCATGATGCGTTTGTCTCGCTCGTCTTGCCATTCGTAGGAGTCGCGGTTGTCGAAGCTGCGACGGCCCCTCTGCGATAAGCGTCGAAAAGGAACCATGGCGAGCAGCGAGTGGATGCTACTCCAGCTCGGATTATGGTGCTACAGAAGCCAAAGCCAATGCAAGCCCAAACTCGCAGTTCAAGGATATGGGCTGTGCATAAGCACGAAACACTGGGTTGTCGAGGCCGGGGCGCTGGAGGGTGTATCGTCGTCGGGCCTTCTTAAAGACGCATGGTGCAGGATGGCATTGTGTGTGCAGAGTCTACGCCGCAGGGGATGGAAATGTTGAAGGTGCCGGAGATGGCGGAAGGAAGACTGGACACGGTCCCAAGGTTCAAGGACCCCTTCGGTTCGTCAGTCATCAGGTCACAGGTCACAGATCAGCCTGGGATCTGGCACAGAGACGGGGGGTTTCTGGTCGCCAGGAGGTCTGCAGGTAGTGCAGGAGGCTTGCCCGCAAGCAGGCTGGCGGATGCCTTAGTGCCCGAGACGGTTGGTATCCAGAGGCAGGGCGGGGAAGCCATGGCTACTCTCCACCATACAGCCTTCACGACTAGGAGCAGACGGGCAAGCCTCAAACAAGAATAAACTTTGGCAGTGCCTATCCCCAGCGGCGCCCTTCACTACAGATATCCGTTTTCTAGACCGCCCGCGGCCTTTAGCTGGCTGCAACGTGTCGAGCAGGTGATTTGGCGATTTGGCATTTTGGCCATGGCCTCCTCACTGTGTGCGCTAGAAGACGCATTGCAGCCGCCAGCAACACACCTAGGGACGCCCCCAAGCATTCCTATGGCTGCCCTGAGCGACGATCCCGCCATGTCGCCGTTTTCCAACTCGGTCAGGTCAAGTGCCGAGGCTTATCATATCCCGATTGATGTTTTAGCTGCCAAATGGCGCAACGCATAGCAGACGTCATGGATGGGCTCCAACGTGAGTTTACCAAGCGCCACGGTTCCTGGCCGATCTCCGCGGGAAGCTATGGATCCCAAGCTTTGGGATGCACGCGCATAACTACAAACTTGTGCTTGTGCCTGGCAAGCATATTACGGGTCACGAGCATCCAATCACAGGGCACGCGATCGGCAAGCTTCACCCAGCGACCATCACTTCTTCCATCTACCAACCCGTGCAACATGCTTCTGGCGCTGGGCTAGAGAGCGGCTGGTAGCCACCAACAATAGAAAGTTTGATCAAGATGCAGACCAACGTTACAAGAAACAACGGCGCGAACTACACTCTTGCAACGCTACAGTAGCAAACCACGAAACTCGTGTCCTCCCATCCCGTCGCCGCAACCCGAACCCGACGAACAAGATGTAGCTGTGCCGGACATTATACGCCGCGAAATGCGACTCGTCCCGGATCGGATCAGATGGGTCTGAAGACTGCAGAACGATCCGCGCACACATACGCGATGGGCAGGACAATACTGGCGGAAGTCGTCAGCGGCTTTTCTTGCCGACAGCGCCAGGACCAGATGCTGCGCGAGTCGTACAAGCCTGCAGGAATGTCAACTCGGAGTGTGAGCAAAGTCAAAGTCATCAAACTACACGCGCAGATTGGGCAATTGGAGACGCCAGACTCGTTACTTTTTGAGTTGTTGCCATCCACGCGCGATACTGGCAGCGCAGAGTCGAGACGACGCCGGTTGAGGTCAGACAATACGAGGGCATACAAGTCCCATCACCCAGCATCGCTTTGGATCTATGAATGGGGTTCTCTTACAACTATATTGACATGGGTTATAGCATCGGAAGCCGAGTAATATCGAGCGATCATAACGCCTCCACCCACGCCTATGTCCGATTACCAGCCCCTCCATCGGGCCCAGACATCCACGACCGTATCTCCACCCGCGTCCGAGTCGACCACAAGATACCACCCGAACCCAGCGCCAGCCACACAAGCATGGTTTGGCCAAACCATAACCTTATCCCCGATCGTCAACTCGTTACATTCGCTCCTATCGCCCTCCCAGGTCAAGATACCATGCTCTTGGCTGATGCGTCCAACGATCCATCCCGTCTTTCCCTCTCGCTCGTCGTATATGTGCTTAGCGGAAGCATTGCCTAGTGCAGGCGTGACAATACCCCATCCCGGGTAGGACTTGCAAGGTTCGCGACCCATCGCTAGAGAGCCAGCGGATACTAGAGCTTCAGGCTTCGATCGCTCATTGTATACACTTGTTACTTCGAGCAACATCCGGATACCAATGTTAGGTTTGGAGAGAGGCTGGAAGGATGACGTGGCTCCGCTAGATGAAGTCGATGGCCTAGCATGTGTCGCGACTTGTTGGCAGTCTAGCAACGGGTATACCCCTGCATGCAGCTCAACAACGTGATCTTTCTGCAGACGTTGGAGTACGTCTTGGAACTCCTGGACCTTGGGGCTGGAGCTGGACAACATATTCTGTGCTGCTGTCGCTGTGGGTGTTGCGCCTACACTCAGTACCAACTTTCCGTCAAAGCTCTCGGGAACAGCCTTGATTGCTGTTTCTAGACCGACCAGTTCCTCGATGAGACCGTTCGCGGCATCGTCTTCTGAAGATCCACCGTACGAGTGTCCGAAGTGCGAGTAGAAGCCTTGCAAGAAGCATCCAGATGTTGGCTCTTGGCTCTTCTCTACTACCGTCTTGACAAGTGATGGGAAACCCGGAGATGAAGTCTTGATGCCAGCACGCTCGTAGCCCGTGTCGATTTTGATGAAAACTCCTATCTCCAGCTCCGTATCAGAGGCAGCGAGTCGCTCGTGGAACTTGAGAAAAGCCGCCTCGTTGTCGATGATGACACTGACCGATCTCGGCTGCAATTTTGAGGCCAGAGAAATGAGGCGCGGAATTCCAGATTGAGGGACCGGTACGCCGTAAAGTACCTTGAGAGCAAACGTCAGTGATGCTTTTTTGATGGTGATATTTGGGACATACACTGGCTTCCCTTCCCACCCCCTGCGCATAGCACAAGTACGGCAACAAGTTCTCCGCCTCCGCAATTGTACTAACGATGAAATTCGCTGGTTGGCTCTGCTCTGCGCCTACTTGCATCTGCGAAAGCTCAAGCGTCTTGTGGCTCTTGACGTGGGCGCGGAACCCTACTTTGAGCTCCGCACAGATGTTGAGCATCGCATCGCAGTTTCGTCGTATAATGGCGCGGTCCAGCACGATGGCTGGCGTGGGGAGGTCTTCGAGCTTTTGGCCCAAGAACTGTGATAGTAGAGAGGCCCGTGAAGGGAGTGGGTATAAGGGGAGCGGGTTGATGTCCGCCATCTTGAAACTTGAGGTGGTGTTCAGCGTTTAAAATGCGAGAGCGAGGTGGTCGGTGTTGATGTTGCTACTCTTTTGATTAAGCTGTCGAAGCGCTTTATATATCTTCTACCAACACCGTCGCATAGATTTTCCAGATCAGGCATCCAGTCGTGAGTCAATCTCTTCCTTCTGGGCGCAAGACCAGATAGAATCTTTGCCTGAGTTTGTTGTGGTGATGCTTATCGGCCGCAGGCGTTAGCCGCCGGAGAAAGAATGTGCGGTGCGGATCGGCCGCGCAGCTTCGTCGAACAAGAGCACGGTCTTGCAAGGCCGCGGATGGTCAGAGGGTGAGCTGAATAGTATTCTGGGGGTAATGAAATCTACTATCGTCGCGATGCTATCTCGAACGGGTTCGACGCGCAATAAGCTGGGGGTAATAGCTTGACGTTGGGTGCGGATCCCGGCGTTAGTACGGAGTGGGGTGCTGCATCGCGACGGGCCCGATAGACAAGCGACTGATAGGCGACAACACACATGTTCATTGAGGACAGACAGATTGAATTGATGGGGTGATACGAGGTACCGGAAGTCGTCATAGTTCTGGAAAAACAGCTGCAAACCTCCAAGGCATGACCTAGCGTGTAGACCGCCGAAACCCTTCCTAAGCGCCCGGTCCTGGCCACACACTACTCAATCTCCTCCTTCTTCCCGTCATTGCACTTCCTGGACTCACACTACGAGTACCCATGGCATTCGCTGCGAAACTGTTTTCGAGGATAGCGTCTTCAAGGTCATCCTCCTCTTCGATTCTATGCACTACGTCCTCCGGTGGCTCCTCTTCAAACACGGCCTGCAAATCAGCGTGCGGACTCAATTGCTTCCAGCTCCTCCAGAAACCGATGTCTTGCAGCCATGTTGTGCGTTTGGAGGGTCCAGGGCCGTTGATGCTGAGGTGGCGACGGGGCTTCCACAGATACCTACGCTCATAGTAGTTGATGGCGAGGAGAATAGGGAAGTTCGAGATACGTATTGCTGAGACGTTGATCTTATGGAACCAGCGGGGCGAAAGTATGAACTTGAGAGGGAGTAGAATGATGAACGCCAATAGGTTGAGAGGCGGGCGGTAGGCGAATAGCGAATCGGACTTGACACCTTCAAAAGTGAGCACGGCGCGGCGGAATTGGATTTCGGCCGTCGCATCTGCTGCGATCTTGCTGAACGTATTGGACAGAATCGAGACAAGGACTGTCAAGAATAGCGTGTTACCCAGGAAAGCATAGATCACCATTAGGGTAGGGCCGAGAATCTCATGGAACCCAGGAGCTTCATCGATGCCTTGGCCATCCAGACCGAACCAAATCCAGAGCATCCATTTGGAGATAGTGATGGAGTTTGGTGAGTCTTCGTAGCCGACTTCGGGGTTGCTGATGCTCAGCCATTTGAGCGCCAAGAGGAAGCCGCCAAAGCACCATACAGCGATCAGACTCAGTGCCGTGAACTCCTTGACCATCGCCCTCAGAGCAATGAACAGCATGTTCTCGGGCATAAGGTTGAATGCGATACGTGGGAACAATATTGGGGACGCGACAGCAAGAACGTCAAGGGCCTGTCTACCCGTTTCGTCTTGATTCGTTATCCACCCATGGCACCGCATGCCGAGATAGATGAGAAATATGCCGGCGAATGTGACGTCCAGGAAAGCCCAGAGTTCTTGTGTGTGTACCTCCCAACCGTGCTCAAGGCATGATATGAGTTCGTCTAGTACCCAGCCGCTGCCGTAGAGTAAAAATGTGATCTCGGCAATAGTCAGGTAGTG